GTAAGGTTTGGTGATCTAGTTCGACAATCCATGATGGTGGATCTAATATTACTCCTATGCTAACGGACAAGTGGAAGTGATAAACAAGATGTTGAAGAACATCATAAAAATAAAGCTTGAATCTGTGAAGGAATTATGGGCTGATGAATTACCACATATCTTATATTCATACCGTACCACTTCTAAAATCATCATGGGAAAAACTTCGTTTATCTTTACCTTATGTGGTCGAAATTATGGTTTCGATAAAAATAGCTTAAGTTCGGCAAGAAAACTAAACTATATCAAGGAACGAAATGAAGAAACTATGAACCTGTGCTTAGACCTCCTAGAAGAAAAACGAATGATTCCTAAATAAAGCTTGTCATATATTAGAGAAAAATGGAAAGACATTTCAATTCCAAGGTTTGCCCCAAAAAAAAAATAATAATAAAAAAATCTTAAGATAGGAGATTTGATTTTAAAGAAAATTTTTATTAAGGATAAATAAATAGGTTCTGGATCGCTAGGCCAGAAATGGCAAGGGTCATACACAATAATCAAAGCAATTAGTCTGGGAACATACCAGCTTGTAGATGAAAGTAGCGAAGCCCTTAAACACCTTTGGAACGATATGTACTTAAGATAATATTATCAATAAAAAAAGCTTTGGTTCGATTAGTGGCAAAGTTAGTTATTAAAAAAAAGGCATTTGGTAAATTTAACCTCTTTTATTTAGGTAAGATTATCAGTTCGAGCAAAATATACTTTAAATATAAAGAAAATTCAAAAACTTTTATTATTTTAAAGAAATGTTACAAACATAACACTTAAAAGTATTACATTCGCGACTGATCTAAACATGCAAATAATACATCTCATGTTACTCCAAGCTTCTGAGCTCGCTTAAATCAAATTTGATGAAATGGAACACCACTATCTGATAGCTCATGATGCAGTAGCCTACCAAATTCAGTGCCTTTCCACCTTTGTAATTTCTTTGACTTGCATATATGTTGGAAAAAAATAAAAAATAAAAAAAAGGAAAAAAAGGGACAAATTTGCCAACTTCTGAATCATTCTTGATAGTTTCTAAATCATTTATGCCAGCATCTGTATTAGAATTATCTGTCGATAATGATACAAAAGGAAAGTTATATCAGCCCTGAAGCATCATTCAACCATATATCTCCTAGACGGAGGAACCGGGAAAGATATACTAGGAAAACACGGTGAAATCCAGATGCATATATGTGAAAAATACAAAAACATAACGAATTTGCCCAAATCTGAAATTTTTTTGCCACCTTTTGAATTAGAGTTATCTATCGATAACATTGCTAAAGGAAAGTTATACCAATCCTAAAGGCTCGTTCAACCACGTCTCCCATATGGAGGAACTTAGAAAGATACACAAGGAAGGCACAATGAAATCGACAAGGATAGTAAAATATTAACACTACTCTGAATATTATTTTGAAAAATTTAAGGTGGGTTTATTTCTTCATAAAATCAATACTCGCAAAAGAACGGAAGGGCATTTTTATGTTCTAGAACAAAAAAAGAAACAATGATAAATATGAGTACACATAGGTTTAAGAAATACATCCTGGTAACTGAATCCCAACAGACTCATTCTTAATCATCAAAAAGATAAAGTGATCCCAACCTTTGAGTATAAAATGACACATTAAAACAAACGATCATAAGCAAGTATTGATGCGAATCCGCGTAGCAACGAACACTACGGAACCCACAACTAGATTGTTAGAACCCCAAAAAAGTCGAATTAATAGGTTTGTGAGTTTGAAAAGAAAAATGAACCAAGCAACCCTACAATAGCGACGATTGAAGGACCTCTTGATTACACAATCAAAGACTCGCACCCGGATTTATTTTGAACATCACAAGAATGCGATTCTTGATAAGTTCAAAGTGTTTAAAGAAGAACAATAGAATTTGAAAGCAATAAAGCCTCCCAAAGAAATTCTCTCAATTAATGAATGATGTCTCCTTACAATGAAGAATTTGTCCTATATTTATACTAGTCTAAAAACCCTAAAATCTAGTAGAAAACTGAAAAATTGTAGACAAAGTTTACAATAATATTGCCAAAAATAAAAATCTTACAAAATATGGAAATTCCTGGAAAAGGAAAAATTTTGTCCCAAAATTGGTCTATGTGACTGACTGTAAGGTAGAATGTTGTATGGTCACATGGATCTCACAAAATTTCCCCACCTGCTCTCGAGCTGCCAGTATGCAACTGCATGGCTATTAAATCTATTTGGTCGCATGGGTCTTAACAGTAGCGAATCCAGGATTTCGACTCAATTAGGGTGACCGTTAATCGTTGGCCGTTGTCTGTCGATAGTTAACGGCCGTATAACAATATCGTTTATTAATATTAAATTAAATAATATTAAAAATTATTCGATCTATATGTAAATATACTAAAACGTAAAAATCGTATATTTATATCATATTATATTTTCATACAATTAGAAATAATATAAATTACATGATACATAAGACTTCTTTGTGTTATCAATGTTTAACAAATCGTTTGCTTGACTAAAGGTAGTTGAGAGATTAGATACACCATTACAAGAACTAAATTAAAATTCAGTTGAAAAAATCATTCCATAATTAGTATCACAATTGAACGTTAATCAAAGATTAAACGTAATTAAAATTAATTTTAAAATATAATTAAAGTTTCAATTTTCAATTCTCAACACCAATTCATCACAAATTATAAATTCCTCAATTTTTCATTTTTAATTTTCATGAATAACATATTCACATTTCACGATACTCAAATTAATTTTTAATATCACAATTTACAACAGACAAATTCTCAAATAACATATAAATTAAAACTCAATATTCATAAGTCATATCTTATAAATTATTAAAGCATAAAATATTTAAAAAAAAAAAAAAGCCTTTTGTAAAGTCTTAACATACATTACTTTGTTAAATTTGGATTCAAAATTCAACCATTACCATGATGGTTAAGCTTTCAATCATCCTAATTTTAGAAGTTATAGGTTTGAATCCTTTCCTTAGGGAATTAATTTTGTTAAATTTTGTAGAAATAAAAATTTTACATAATGAAATGGAGGAGAAGGAATCGAACCCAAGACTCACAATATATAAAAGGAAGCTCTAACCAACTAAGCAAAAGAGAAGTTTGAAAATAAAATAAAATACCAATTATATAACCAAATATTTTTATCTATTACAAACGAAAAAAAATTCTCCCTGACGAATCCAGCTAGGGCGGCCACTAAATCCGCCACTGGGTCTTAATGTGGTCTCAACTTCGGCCGTTTGTATCCAATTGATCCAACATGATTCGACTCTCGACCCCAACATGAAAGTTGCCCCATTATACGCCAAGAATGATGTTTTATCAATTATTACTTGAACAACCAATCCCATAACTTGTTTCACCCATTTTGCCCTCGATCGCGTCATCAGTCCCCCTTCGATAATCAAAGGTTCACGCCCTGAGCTCGTCTTCGTCGGGCTCGACTCTTGGATCACATCATCCTCTCCCTCTTCAAAAGGATTCGTCCTTGAATCTAATCTTGCATCAGAGAGAGAGAGAAAGAGAGATCAGACACGTTAAATGTTGTCGAAACACTATACTCACCTGGGAGATCAGTTTGTAAGAATTGTTGTTGATCTTCTCAATGATTTGAAATGGAACGTCTCCCCGTAGTTGCAGCTTTTGACTTTCTTTGCTCTGGAAAGCACTTCTTTTTAAAATACACCCAAATCCAATCACCTGGTTTGAATGTTACACCTTTCCTGCTTTTATTTGCCCACGATGCAATAAGCTTACTCTTGTTCTCGATTTGCAACTTAACTTTTTATAGAGTGATTTTACCAATCATGTCTTTCTCTTACCATCTAAACTACCACGTTCATTCATAGGTAAATGTATTATATCCAATGGGATTAGTGGACTAAAACCATAAACAATTTTAAATGGCGAAAATGAAATAATAGAATGAACAGCCCAATGATATGCAAATTCAAGAAATGATAAACACTCCCCCCAATTTTTCAAGTTCTTATTGATCACAGTACGCAATAATTAAATCATAGTCATATTGACTACCTCGGTTTGTCCATCGATTTGTGGGTGATAAGTTGTGAAAAATAATAATTTTGTGCCTAACTTATCCCACGAAACTCACCAAAACTGACTCAAAAGTTTTATATCTCTATCCAACAGTATGCTCTTAGGAACCCCATGCAAATGCACCACCTCTTTAAAGAACAAATCCACTGTGTGGCATCGTCATTTTGGTGACATGGTATGAAGTGCGTCATCTTACTAAACCTATCTATCACCATAAAGATTGAATTGTGTCTTTTCTTAGTCCTAGGTAAACCCAAAACAAAATCCATTGACATGTCAACCTATGGTTCACTAGGTGTCGGTAATGGTCTATATAGTCATTGGGCAAAACTCTACACTTAGAACTCTTGCAAGTTATGATTGACTACAAATCCTCTCGATGTCACTTTTCATCTTAGGCCAATAGAAATGCTCCCCTAATGTCTCTAAAGTTTTTTGTACCCCAAAGTTCCCCATTAATCCGCCACTATGGGCTTCCTCCACTAGCAATTCTCGCATTGAACAATTAGGAACACATAACCTATTTTTTCGAAACAAGTACCCCTCATACTTAAAAAACTTATCCATAGCCCTCTTACAACATGATTTGTAAAAATCTGAAAAATCTATGTCATTTTCATACATATCTTTAATATGTTCAAAACCAAGTAATTTAGCACTTGGTGAATTTAACAATGCACACCTTCGAGATAAAGCATCTTCCACTATTTTTTCTCTACATTGTTTGTACCAAATGACGTATGGAAATGTTTCAATAAACTCTCTATTTAGCATGCCACTTGTTTAGCTTTTCTTGACTCGACAAGTGCTATAATGACTCATGATTGGTGTGAATAACAAACTCCTTAGGGCATAAGTAATGCTGTCATGTCTCCAACGCCCTAACAAGTGAGTATAGTTCCTTGTCATGTGTTGGGCAATTTAGTGCAGCCCCACTCAACTTTTCACTGAAGTAAGTTATAGGCCTCCTATCTTGCATTAAAACTGGTCCAATACCTATTCCTGATAAATCACACTCAATCTCGAACATTTTGTCTAAATTAGATAATGCTAAAATAGGTGCTTTATAAGATTTATCTTTAATAATGTTAAATGCATGTTCCTATTCATCGCCCTAATAAAAACTAATGTTCTTCTTTACTACTTTCGTGAATGGTGTAGTGGTTGTGCTAAAGTCCTTTACAAATTGCCTATAAAAACTAGCCAAACCATGGGAACTCCTAATTTCGATTATGCTTTTAGGTATTAGCCAATCTATAATAGCTTTAATTTTCTCCTCATCTACTTCTACCCTGTTAGGACTAACCACAAAACCTAGAAAGACAACTTTTTCCATGCAAAACATACATTTCTTAAAATTAGCATAGAGTTGTTCTTTCCCTAAACTACAAGCACACATCTTAAATGTTCCATTTGCTCATTTAGATTTTTGATATAGACTGAAATGTCGTCAAAATAGTCCACAACAAATGTTTATATGTAAGCACTCAAAACATGATTCATTAAACGCATAAAAGTGCTCGGTGCATTAGTGAGTCCAAATAGCATTACTAACCATTCATATTAACCATATTTAGTTTTTAATGCAGTTTTTAACTCATCACCTTTCCTTAATGAGAATTTGATAGTACCCACTCTTAAGATCAATTTTGCTAAAGACACATATACCATGTAATTCATCCAACATGTCATCTAACTTAGGGATAGAGTAACAATACTTCACCATTATATTTTTTATGGATTTGCAATCCACACACATTCTCTATGACCCATATTTCTTTAGCACTAGTAATACTGGAACGGCACATGGACTCAAACTCTCCCGAACATAACCTTTGCTCATCAACTCCTCTACCTGCCTTTGAAACTCCTTTGTCTCCTTGGAATTGCTCTGATAAGCTGGTCGATTTGAAATGAAAGCTTTAGATATGAAGTCAATTTGGTGCTCAATATCTCGAATGGGTAGTAACCCACTAGGTATGTTCTCTAAGAAAATATCTTTGAATCCCTGCGATAAAGATTTAGCTAAATTAGGGAGAGGTGTGTTAGTTTCCTCAAGATTGAAGAGTGATTCTTTATACAAGAACAAGATCTTTTCTTTTCTCTCAATTATCGCTCTCCTCAACTCACTCACTTTCGCAAAGAAATTCACTTGAGATTTTTCCCTTTGCTCGGAAAACTCTCTTTCTTTTCACTCTTGTGGCTTCACTCTCTTGTTTTTTTTTCTCTACTAGCTACCTCCCTATTTTCTCTCTTACTCACCATCTCCATATTTTCTCTCTTTCTCTCTAACTCTTTCACTCTTCTCTTTTCTTCATTTCTCAATTTGATTTGGTCTTTATACACGTGTGCCAGAGTTAATGGTGCAACGGTAATGGACCTCCTATCCTTGACAAAGCTTGTAACGATTCTTGTATCTATCATGAATAACCTTCCTATCATATTGCCATGGTTTTCCTAACAAGAGATGCCTGGCATACATATCACATATTACTTCATCACGGTAACTACCAATTGAGAAATGTGTTAGCGCCCTTGTATTCACTTGAACCTCTCCACTTTTGTTTAACCATTGTAACTTATAAGGTCTAGGGTATCTCAACAATGTTAATCCTAATTTCTCTACTAGTGCTGTGCTAGCGACATTCGTGCAAATCCCGCCATCAACGATTACGCTACATACTGTATTGTTAATGTGGCATTAAGTATAAAATTTGTTTTCCTGCTGTTACTCCAAATCATCCTCCTTGATTTGAGTGTAAAATGCTCGTCTCGTGACCAATAGCTCTCTAACTACAAATTCCAATTTCTTACCATCACTAACCTCCTCCAATGATGGTATGTCATCATAATCATCTTCATCTTCGCTCACTACCTCTCCATTGTCCCGCAACACATCTCTCTTTTGTTTGGGCATTGAGAAGCGATGCGTCCTCACCCCAAGCACCTAAAAGGCTTGATGTCCCAACTCCTTAATGATTGTGACTCCACTTTCGGTACGGTCATGCTAGAACCTTCTTCTTTCCCCTTTTTCCATTCATTCCTTCCTTTAGATACAGTTTCATCCACTTTATTATTATTATTATTATTATTATTATTATTATTATTATTATTATTATTATTATTATCCCACTTCAGTTTCCAAGATGAATTAGAAATCGAAGAACCAACGATTGCCTAGCTGTCCCCTTCCCTTCAGTTGTCTCTCCACTTTCATGGCCACATGCAACATGTCTTTTAACTCCACATAGTGTTGCAATTTCACTACATTGACGATATCTTATTTAACACATTCAAGAACCTTGTTATAGTGGCTTCCCGATCCTTTTCCACATTTGCCCTAATCATTAGTATCTCTATCTCCTTGTCGTAATCCTCCACACTCTTTGACCCCTAATACAAACTCTGTAATTTTTTATAGATTTTCCTATAGTAGTGACTAAGGACTGACCGTTTCCTCATTATTTCCTTCAACTCATCCTAAGTGTTGATAGGACTTTCCTGATTCTTGCGCCGCGAGGTAACTACTTGATCCCACCAAGTTATTTCATAGTTAATAAACTCGAGAATCGCTATCTTCACCTTCTTCTCCTTCGAGTAGTTATGAAATTCAAAGATCAATTCAACATTTCTCTCCAACTCTAAATACGTCCTGGATCACTTCTCCCTTTAAATTGTAGAATCGCCATTTTGATGTTACTCATGTTTCCGTCTATCTCATCTCCATGATTATTTCTACCCCATCTTTCAAACCTATCACCTCTATTCCTCATCAATCCCATGTCAACTCCATTAAAATCATCCTCATCCACATCGCTAACATAATCAAACTCTTCATGCCTTTCTCTCTTAGGCTATTGTCTACCCGGTATCCTTGCATTATGTACCTTTGCTCGTTGCCTCTACTAAGAGTAGCCATCGATATATTCAACCTTGCCATCCTATCTCCCATATCCACCAACAATCGCTCAACACCCCTCATCATATCGTCGGACGCATTAACGTGATTGCTGTTTCGAATTGAATTGGAATCTTCTGTTTCAAACATCCTAATTCTAGAAAAAAATTTCATCACCGATATTCACTCACAATCGCACAATATGGCTTTTACACTCTATTAATCTCACCACTCTGCCTTTTATCGCTCTGTGCTTTCGTCCAAGTACTTCAAAGGACAAGTGAACTCAAGGAATTTAAAACTTGTGGATTCTCAACCAGATGAAAATCAAGGAATGTATTTAAAGGGACTTGAGCAATTAGATTGCAACTTTAATGGAAACTAAAGAAAACTTAAAAGATTAATTGACACAAACTTGAGCTAATTGACATGGACTTTTAAATTGATCGAAAGCAATAAACGTGACTCGAAAAAAAATTAAAATATATTGGTAGTAAATTGAACAACAATAATAAAAAAAAAAATTCGACTCTTTCCCTTTTTTTCCTTGTTCAGTTCTTTCATTTTTCATTTTTTATTTTTTTGAAAAAGAGAAACAAGAGAATATACTACCAACAAATCAATAAGAGTTGTTTTAGATGCTATATTAGCCCAAAACAACCTTTGAAAAAATTAAACGGAGTTTAAACAGATCAAAAGACTCAAATAACGAAGAACAAACAAAAAAGCAGAAAAGAAACAAAGGAAGCAAGGATTAAAGACCCAAACTTAACCAGACACGAAGAACACAACGAAAAGAAAAAAAAAAGACGCGAAAAATGAAGAAGAAAGACTCAACGGAAAATAAAATGATATAACCTATTAATTTGGAGCCTATGTTTTGATACCAAACTGATGCAAACCTATGTAGCAATGAACATTACGGAACCCACAACTAGATTGTTAGAACTCCAAAAAAGCCGAATTAATAGGTTTGTGAATTTGAACTCAAGAAAAGTGAACCAAACAATCCAATAATAATGATGATTGAAGGACTTCTTTATTAAACAATCAAAAAGTCGCACCCGGATTTGTTTTGAACGCCACATGAATGCAACTCTTGATAAGTTCAAAGTGTTCTAAGAAGAACAATGGAATTTAAAGCAATAAAGCCTCTCAAAGAAATTCTCTCAATTAATGAATAATGTCTCCTTACAATGAAGAAGTTGTCCTATATTTATACTAGTCTAAAAAACCCTAAAATCTAGTAGAAAACCGGAAAATTATAGTCAAAGATTACAATAATATTGCCAAAACTAAAAACCTAATGGAAATTCCCGAAAAAGGAAAATTTTTGTCTCGAAATTGGTCTATATGACAGCAAGGTAGAATGTTGTGCGGTCGCATAGATCTCACAAAATTTCCCCAACTGCTCTCTGGTTGCCAATATACGATCGCATGGCTGTTAAAGTTGTGCAGTCACATGGGTCTTTGTGTGGTCTCCAACTTGATTCAGCTCTCAATCTCAACATGAAAGTTGTCTCATTTTGCGCCACGAACGATGTTTCATCAATTATTACTTGAACATCCAATTTCATCGCTTGTTTTACCCATTTTGTCCTCGATCGCGTCATCGGTCAGCCTTCGATAATCAACGGGTCAAGCCTCGGACTCGTCGTCGTCGGACTCAACTCTTGAATCACATCAAGTATAAACATCACGCAATTAAAGTACACGTATGTTCCAAATTGCATTTAAAAAGGACGATTATTAACGAGACATTTCATCTAATCATGCATCAATTATCATTAATAAATAGAATAAACTTGAAAGTTATCGTACCTATTTCTTAAGTACACAAGTTTGCTACTTAACATAAATAGTTGAACTCGAAATTTTGGAACTCCTAGGAACTAGATTATCCAATTTCGCATTTTTCCTAAAATCGATGTACCAAGATAAATGGAACAAAATTTTGAGTTTATATATTGTAAGAGCTCGCAAAAATAAATAAATAATTATAACAAAAATAATAAAATGTACTGTGTCTGTCAATTCACTCAAAACTGTAGATTAAGTGTTAAAACCTAATATAAATGATCGTACTCGAACTTTGAGGACTATTTGTTATACATAAATCTAAGCAAGCACTTTGAAAAGGCCAAAAGTAAACGCAAATTTAAAATGAGTTAAAAGCACTCACAATGGAAAATTTTAATAAGCGACCTTAAATATACAATCTAAACCAATGTATTCGAGCAAAAAATGAAGGATTAAACTTGTGAGTAAGACGTGAACTAATAATAGAATTAAGTTAGTTATCAATCGATCAACGCTGCCACATGCCGCTAACTCAAAGGACACTTTCAACTTTCTCAAGGCCTAAATAGAAATCTATAAATAAACATGCTTTGGATGAAGAATGCTACTTTGAATTGAAATAGTTTCCTCCCAAATTATTAATTCCTCGATTTCTCCAATTGAATAGCAAAATAATGAGCTTCAGAAGAAAATACGTTCACTAAAAGTGAGAAATTTGTTGCTTATTGTTTAAAGTTCAACAATACATGTATGGAAAAAGATACGAAGTGTCACGTCTAATTGACAAATAAAATCAAGTTACTAAACTTGGATTGAACTACCGGTCTGATCTCAAACCAGCAAACCTGCCCGTGCAGCCGAACCGATCCAGTCACAAACCCTTTAACGAACCGGTTCTTCCTATATATATTTGATTCCAGCATATGAGGTGAGTATTGCGCAAACGCCAAAAGAGTGAAGAGGTCCACAAGTTTTTACTGTTACCAAAAGTTATATAATTGATGGTTTGAAAGTAAGCAAGGAAAGAGCCAGAAATACAGTCAAGAAGTGAATCTATCTGCCAATTAAAAAGTACATAACATGTGGCAAAATTGGAAGATGCCCTTCCAATCAAAATAAAAACTACACTAGTAGAGAGGAAATAAAAGTAAAATCCAAGTGATTCCCCCAGTTACCATACAGACATAATTCCCACTCTTCACATCCTTCTAAAGATAAACACAAGAAAGGAACTGATTTCAGACCAGATTACACGTTATACTGATACCACAAACAGAATACGACTGTCTTAACAACCCAATTTTCAGATTTTCATTTTTCTGCAAAAAATAAAATAAAAATAAAGGTCAGTAAATAGCCACATTAAAAAGCTTTTAATAAAAAAAAAAATACTATGTACAGTAGTCCTACCATTTTGGGTCATGAAGAAATCATGCAAGGGATTGGGTACTGAAATTGAGAGCTGTGTTCTGTGGCTTAAAAATTTGTCCTCAGAGTCTTTGTTGTCCTTTGGTGGCCATTCATCGAGAAAATGATGCATAATTTTGTTGGGCTGCGGATCCTCCACAATCTCTCTATTGTTGATATCAGAGGTGTAATAAGGATTTTGCTTCACATCACCGAGTGTCAGTTGTGCCATTTGCCAAGAATCATTGACATCTCTTGAGGTCCCAGAATGCCCATAGCTGTTTCTACTACATATATAAGAACAAGCCATTAATCAATCAAAAACAGAGACAAAATCACATAACCTAGTGGGGTTTTTAAGAACCTGTAGTCTTTGACTGGAGTAGAAGAATAAGCATTGGATTCCAAGAAAAAGTATTTTTCTTGTCTAGCAGAAGAAGAAGAATTTGTAGTGTTTTTAGTGATTGATGAGATATTTGGAGGTGTTTCCACAGGCTTTCTTGAACGGTTTCTCCCTCTGTGCATGTGTCTTTCACAGTACTTAGAATCTGGATAAGCCTCTTTTGAGCACCTCCACTTCTTTCCATCTGTTCTTCTGCACCTTCCTGGCTCAGGGTCTATTTTTCTCCCAAAACCCACAGGAAAACTGTTCCATCCAACTGCAAACGAAATAAAAAAAAAAAAAATCTTTTCTAGTTACAACACATCATAATAAAACATAAAAAACCCAGCTTTTTTTTTTGTCATTACCATGTTGTGGTACTTGGTGGAGAAGAAACTTGGAAGAAGAATCTAGACTTCTTCTGATAGTGAAAAGAAGATCTTGTGGAATAGGCATCCCAGAGACCATGTAATTGAAAAAAAGTGCTTGGTGTTCAAGTTCTTGCCTTTGGGTTGCTGTGAAAGGATACATACTTCTTCCACTGCTTGAGAGAGCAAAAGGGTTTTGTTCAGTGTAGAGAAGAGACGGGGATGTGGTGGCATATTTATTTTAGGGACCATGAGCGTTGCTGCAGAATCTTCTGTACGTTCATAAAACTAATGGTTCTGATCATATTGCTGCCACCCTCTCTCTTTCATCGATTGCGTATGTGATAAGATAAATTGAATTAATTTTTTCTTAAATAAATAAAATAATTTACACTCTTTTTTTAATGTCTCATCTCTATATAAATCATTATATATAAATAGCATTATTTCTCTTTCATTCGATATTGTGATCTTCTATTCAAATCATGATAATTATTTGACAATTCGTGATTTGCTCATACAACAATTTTTATATTCAAATTCTGACATCTCGAATTTTAAAGAAATCAATTATGATATTAACTTAACTTTAATATTAAGATCCTGTTTGAGCCACATTTTTTCACATTTTTTTCTACGGGAATCATCTTCAGCTACATATTTTTCATTAAAATAATTTTCACATAAATTAAATTTTTTTTCTTTTTTTAATCATATATTTTCTATTTCATAATACATTATAAAAAATTAACGGGGCTCGTATATGGACTAAGTGATTTGAGTAAATAATTTTAGTGCATCTGTAGACTGTAGATAAAATCGTTCTATTTATCAGTTTGTTTCTCTCTCATCTGCTGCTGCAGTGCACATTATGACTACTGCAACTCTGTGGGCATCTGCTGCAACTACGCTGCTTTTATGACAGCTCTTGTCTCTGACACAAATACGGAAATCCATAAACTAAAGGGTCCCTTTGAATTTGATAAATATTATTTAAACCAAAAGATTTACGAGAGTTGGTGACTGAATTCTCAGTGCCTGGGCCATCAGAAAATTGTACGGTTTATAACTTTTACTGCTACTTTTACTTTTCATCTCTGTTGGCTTTCTTTTACCAGCAGCACACCGCCACCCCACTAACCTACACAATTTGACCTTTCTTAATTTGGGATGTGTTTTCTTTAGTGAGCTACAAAGTTGAGTTTGAACCCCCTCTTGCTCCCTCTAATGAGAGGCGATGTGATGTGATACGAAACGATGGGATTTACTTGAAAATATTGGAGAAACGTTGCAAGAAAAATTATAATTTATTAAAAGGTATTTATTTAAACAATTATTTAAATTCTGTCATTTGTTAATCTTATGGTAGAATAAAAACCAAAGCCTAAAATAATTTAAATTGTTTGTTAAGAGTTAAAACTCGAAATTAAAAGTTACTCCATGGCTGAAGTCCCTATTTGGCCACTTTTATTTTAATTTCATTTTAAATAACACACTTTTTTGGAACTCAATACTTCTATCAACTTTTCAATTATATATTTTGACTTTGTTTGAGCCCCATTTTCTTCAAAAAAATGCACTTTCAAATAGTGTTGTGATAGGAAATATGTGGTTAAAAAATAAGGAAAAATTTTGAATTTACGTGTAATATTATTTTATTGAAAAATGTGGGATGGAAATGAAGTAAATCACTGTTGAAAAATGAATTTTGATAAAAAAAAAATGGAACTCAAACAAGGGTTTTATCTAAATATACTAAAAAACTGATTTTTAACTAAACCAGATAGATACTTGTAATTCTTAATTCAAGTTTTCCAATAGCTTAATCGAAGGTTCTTGTGAAGTTTCCTCGATTTTTTTTTTTTTACTTTATCAAAATTTGAAATATTAAGACTTTTTTTTTTGTTTTTTGGAAATTTTCAAAATGTTTTTGAATTTTTGTCAAGGAGTTTCTTTTTTCAAAAATGTTGTTGATTATTAGATTTAATCAAAAAAATTATTTTTCCCTTTGAAGATTAAATCCAATTGATAATAGATCTTAGATCAACTTGAATTCATTGAATTTTTATCTAAATCCTCACACATAAGAGTAAGATAATAACCCTAGAGGAGTTTTAAATGACCTTCTAACTTTCTAGCCAAAGCTTCCTCCTTTAGATCTTCTCCATTTTTCTCCACCTTTAGGTGCCTCCCTTTTGAAACGATAAGAGTATGTGGCTAAGCCCACAAAGGGCATTTTTATAAAATTCAATTAGGATTTCATAATTGTACAATTTTCCTTGGATTTTATAATAGAAAGCCAATTAAGTCTTACATTTACATTAGAGCAAAGAGAGGGACATTATCAGAGTCACAAAACTCAAGCTCCAATAGATGTTTCTAATTGGGTTAATTCTTAACCAATTAAGATACGTATATTAATTTGAACTTATTCTACCAAAAATTCGAAATTACATTTTCAAGTCGAGTGATAATTATGGAAGAAAATTATAATCCGATAATAATATCCTTCAATCATCGTTACACACGTTAACCTTGTTTGATCATCAATATGTTGAAATCGATAAAATGATTGTTTAGCGCTTTCAACATTATTACCCTTTAGGTCTTATTTTCATAGGGAAATCTGTTGTGAACAAATCGTAATATAGAGTCTAACGATCCCATCATTGAATTACTAAGTTCAAATTCAAATACCTATAGAAATGCCTCATAGTGATGATTGTATATCGTGATTATTACTAGATTCCATTATTACAAGTATATGGTCTCTAACTGTTTTGTCACAATTTTCAAAGCACCAAGATCAATCGTTTATTTAGGACTTCACTCATTGGTACCTCAAAAAACTTGAACTAGCATTCAAAGATATATTACTCACTCAGGATTTAGGTAACTCGTTCGAAGATCAAGTTGAGTTTCATTCCTAGTAGTTACAGATAAGTCATCTACACGGTTACATTCAATGTGCACCAAACACATCATTATTCTTATTCTCAAGATCTAGAAAAATCTCAATAAGACCAATTTAATTTTATCAACATAAAGCGTCTAGCTTTTTGTGCTGATTGAAAACGATATATTTGTCATGATAGTTTATATTGCTATTACAAATTAGAAGGCGTGAACAATAGAATACCAATTCATAATATTGCTCACAAAAATATTACTCGAAGGGCATTAAACAAACAAATGTGTCATAAACATAAATAGAAGTTTCTTGTATATATAGGTTTAGATTTGAGAATGTACTCTACTATTTCATAGGATTGTATAAAAATTATGTTGCTAATAAGAGAATGGATAGCCACTAACACTCCATAAGTTAACTAATTATTGCAAAGATGTTTTCTTTCTTCTAAATAATTACGGAAACCTCTGTTAAATTTATTTTTGACAACAAATTCCCTATCAGCCAAAAGTAAATTTATGTTACGTTTTTATGTTTATAATATAATTGAAACAATTTGCCACGCCTCTTATTATGAGGCTCTAGTTCATGGCCGCGTGGTAGACTGATAACAAGTTCACACTCCACATCACTATCCTATAGAGGTTATGTACCGCTGCCACTAAAGTGCCATGTAGAGACCGACCAAAAATGGCTTAGACAAAGTGTTACTTCTACTATAAAAAGGAAATCCAAGGTAATTAGCCTCCTCATTGATAAGAAACATCTCCCACATGACCTCTTTCAAGATATCTTTTACACAATATTCTTTTACAATTAAATGATGTGACATTTCTTCAACAGGCAAGTAGATTGTCATATGTTAGTCTACATTTCTAAGGTCGGACCTAGGCTCAAGATTGACCACTTTTCAGAAAGTATTAAATGCCAATTAGTCTATGATTTATAGAAAGACACATCGGCCATTAGAATGAAGTCACATGTCTCTTCATGCAACGATGGCAATCTCTAATCTTCTCATATAAAAGTTCACATTTTATACACTCAACTATAACTTTATTCTCACATTGTTCTCTACATACTCTGGAATTCGAACCCTTTTATCATGGCTACGTCTTTTGCAAGCTCCGAACCCAAATACTTATTTCAAAATAGAGTGTCATTACCATCGGAATGCTTAAGGTCGTCTTCCCTACCATCGAAGAAGGTCATTGCTCTAATGATTTGTCCAAATGAGTAGGAAAAGGTAACGTGAACATGAGAAGAGTTGGGATCTGTTGACCACGTTACCCTATAAAAATTGAGGTCAAGAGATTTGAGTCGTATATAGGAAACCACACTATTAACTATAAGCAAATCCTGCAAAAAAAGCTTATCTGAAATTTTTTAATTCATTGAAAATTGAGAATTTGAGAAAAAAAATCTGCCCTACATGACCCTCTTTTTGAATGAAAGATGCGTCCACCCACCATGAGTGCAAGTAAAGAAAAAAAGAATTCGTAAAGAATAAGAGAGATCTCTAAAGAAGAGGCCATCTCACCCACTGTCGACTTCATCATCGTATAGTTTATAAGGTCATGGTTTGCCTCATTAGAGAGGTGGCGGAAAATGGCCACCAACATGAGAAATATAATTAAACTAAACTCAATCATGTAATAGCTCCTCATAAAAGTACAAGCACGGGCAAATATGCATAGGCAGTACTATGAAAGAAGTGATCTTCCCAACAAGTGGATTTTCAACTCCTTAAAATATGACACCCCCCCATATCATTGGGTTCATAGGTGATAGCATCATTTAAGAGATAAATTAGGAAAGCTCGCCTTGAAAAATATTGTGGACTATCATCTCCATCCATCACCTACGCTTAAAGTTCCCTATTGATAATAACATTGACACCATCAAAGGTAACCAAACAAAGGCTAGGGAATGCTATATGATCTGCCTGTGGAAGAAAGCTCCCATGAAGTAAATATGTTGATAGCTAACATGGAGATAGTCAAAGCCTCTGTATAAGAGAAGACCTCTAAACAAGAAAAATATGTGGAGATATTCAAAGCCCCTGAATAAGAGAGGCATTTAAAAAATGGAAAATCTCTGGAGAAGAGGTCATGAATAAAACAATCCCTGAAAAGGATGAGACCTTTCAAGATCAGGCCATCAATGAAATTATTCCCAAAAAATGGGAAGCCTCCAAAAAAGAAGTTGTTCACGAAATTATTTCCTTTCGGTTTAAAATTACCGCAAGTGTATAGTTCGTTAATAAGTAATAAAGTGGAATATTAAGTTCCGAATATCGTCCCACAAAGACCGAGTAGTTCAATTTTATC